GCATCCTAAAACCAGTCCAGCTCGTCCCTGCCTCCCTGACCTGTTCTTCCTCCCACCTATCCCCTCCTCCCACCTCAAGCCGCACCTCCATCTCCTACCGACCAACCTCATCCCGCCCCCTTGACCTGTCCGTCCTCCCTGGACTGACCTATCCCCTTCCTAACTCCCTACCTACACTCACCTTTACTGGTTCCATCCCCGCCTCTTCGACCTGTTTGTTTCCTCTCCACCTATCCTCTCCTCTATCCCTCTTCTATCCGCCTCCCACTCTCTCCCTATTTATTTCAAAACCCCCTTCCCCTCCCCCTTTTCTGATGAAGGGTCTAGGCCCGAAACGTCAGCCTCTCTGCTCCTATGATGCTGCTTGGCCTGCTGTGTTCATCCAGCCCTGCACCTTGTTGTCTCGGATTCTCCAGCATCTGCAGTTCCTACTATCTTTCATTCTGATAGTTTTCTCATTTTAGTTAAAACTGCTTCACAATATTTTATTCAATGACAATCCTAATTAATCTGCATTAGGAAGTTACAGGTTCAGTGATGTTTCGGCCAGATTTTTCCCGTAACAGACATAAAGCATCTGAAAAACAAAACACAATCTAAACAATTCCAATAACTGGTCATGCATGGTGCACAAACAGTAATGCTGTTCAATTATAGATGCTGAGGTTTTTGGTGCACATTAGTGTATTTCATCAAGTTGAAAAAGCCTCTTATGGTACACAGCACAGCTCTAGCAATCCCTCCTGGATGTGACAAGTACTTAAAAGAGAAAAGCAATTATAGGTGCCTATTACTACAAAATACAAGAGATAAAGAAAGAACAGTTCATGTCAATAAATGTTTAAGGTAAAAATACAAGCTTGACTCTGATGAATGAGGGGTTGTTGATTGAAATTATTATCCCTGGTTTTGAGTATATAATTTGGTATGAAACAGCAGCAACTGGATCATTATGAAGTGCCATCATTCTATTTAAAATTTACATTAATAAATGCTAAAGATTCAATAATATTATTCAAAGAAAGACAGGATTTTTTCCTGGTCTCCTGACTATGGCTTTTCCTCAGATGGCAGAACTTGAAAACTTATCTAGTCCTCTTTCAAAAAGAAGCCATAAAATGGGTACAATGTGATTTTATTTCTACACATATAACAGGTTATTTAGATCTCAGTTACATTTGTTTTTGCTGTGTGCCAATTAACTGTTGCATTTGCCTATATAACAACAGTGAAAATGGACAGATACTAACCAGGAATGAGTGCTTGAGAAAAAGATTAAATGCCCAAATCATTGGCACCAAGTTCAGCACTCAATGTGATCATGCCGAATTCTAAATTTAAAATTCAGCATGCCTGCAGGTCAAGTTTGTTAAAATTTTGCGCCATATTATAGAAAGTAATTTGTCAGAAACATTCCTTAAAGATGTGGTAGATGCAATTTGAATCCAAATCTTAATTTTTCCTGATATCTGGATATTTGGTACTAATGTCAGTAAGAAATACTTACAATAACATTATAATTTTGTTCCTCAAGCTAGTAAATACACAATAATTTTAAGTGATTAACAGAGTTGTAGCATAAGTACAGCAGACATATCATTGTGTGGATATTTTATCCAAATCAAAATTAATGTTGTAAAACTCCACTGCATTCTGCCAAATAGAAATATCTTTGTTCATAGTTCACATTCAACTCTTTTAGTCTGCTTCACAATTTGATAAGATTATGGCTGATTTGCCTGTAGCCTTTTCTGCCCCCGATAACCCTTGATTTTCTCGTCGATCAAAAATCTATCTAACTCAGACTCAAATAAATTCACCGATCTAACCTCCATTGAATCCTAGGGAAGAGAATTCCACACACTAATGACCCTCTGAGATAAACATTTTTTCCCTCATTTTTGTCTTAAAAGGGAGACCTCTAATTTTAAACTGTGCCCCCTACCATTAGTGTCCTTAGTCTCCCACAAGAGGAAACATCCTTTCAGGATCCACCGCACATCCTGTCAAGTCTCTTCAGGATCTTGTATGTCTCATTAAGATCACCACTCATTCTTTTAAATGGGTATAGGTTCAACCTGTTCAACCTTTCTCCATAAAATAAGCCCTTCATCCGAGGATTGTGTTGAGTGAACCTTTTCTGACCTGTTTCTAATGCAATTGACTCCTGTATTAAATAAAGTGATCAATCTGTATGCTGTATTCCAGATGTGTTCTCACCAATAACCTGTGCAGTTGCCTTAAAATCTCCCTATACAATAACCATTAACATTCCACTTGCCATGCTAATCACTGACTGTACTCACAAACTATTTTTTTTTTGTTATTCACATACCAGGATATCTTAATCCCTCTGTACCGCAAAATTCAGCAATCTCTCTACATTTAACTGTGTACAGTTTTACTATTCTTTCAGTCAAGGTGAACAAGTTCACATTAAATTCCATCTGCCATTTTATTGCCCACTTACTTAAATGAAGTAAGTCTGTAGGAACATAGGAAACAGAAGTATGAATAGGCCATTTATTGCCTGCTCTGCTATTCAACAAGATTGTGAGTGACCTTCAATCTCAACATCATTTTCCTAACTGTCTCTATATCCCAAGATACCTCTAATATTGAGAAGCCTATCGATCTCTGTTCTGAATATATTCAACAACTGGGCTTTCTCAGCCCTCTGGGATAGAGAATTCTAAAGATTTACCACATTCTGAATGAATAAATTCATCCTAGTCCACCTAATGATTAACTTCTCATTCTGGTACTCTGTCCTCTGATTCTAGAACTCATATCTACCCCTTCTTCACCCCACAACCAGGTAACCTGGAAGCCACATGAGAATTTTGTATGTTTCAATTGGATGTCATCTCATTTTCCTAAACTCTAGAGAAACGTGCACAGATAACTTAATGTCTCCTGATAGGACAATCCTGCCATGCCAGGGATCAGGGTGATGAATATTTGTTGCATTCCCTGAGTGACAAGTATATCCACCCTTAGTTGAGAAGGCCAAAATCCTGAATAATATTGCAGGTAGCAGTCTAACCAAGGCTCAATACAATTGGACCAAGACTTCTTTACTCTTGTACTCAAAAATACTTGTGTTGTAAACACCAACATCCCATTTGCCTCTCCAATTGCCTGTTACATCTGCATGTTAGCTTTCAATAACTTATGTATAAGGACACGTATATCCATCTGCATCATTGACATGACAATGTTAGTTCGGTCAGCAGCAATGGCATGGTGCATTTTGTCTTTGATCAATATTTAAAGCCTAATGTGTGCATTCTGCATGCGTTACATATAAACGAGGAAATGTTTGCAAATGAAATGTAGCTGGAGTGTGCAAACCATGCTTCATGTATTTGTCCCTTCAATGTTCTCACATCTACCAGACATAGATCCCACACTTTTGCCAAAGTGATATTGACTGTGCCACACTAGGCATTATCTAAGCTAATTTTTAATTGCATTGTGCATCTAGAGAATGGCAAGTGAATGCAGATCACAGTGAATGCTGTCAGCACTGGTCTTTGCCTGATTACTAGCTACCTCCATTGAACCTCAACATCCTTTTTTATCTCACCTTACCATGACAGCCCATTCCCCCCATACATGGA